ATTAGATCTTGCCTCTCCTCTCCCAGTTGGCTTCCCTACTGTGAGTCCAAATTTTGTTCCTCACTATCCAACTCTCTTAAGTTTGCTTCAATATTGGATACACACATATTTTAATAAACTGGAAGCATAGCTAAGATAATGTTCCCCTGATGGGCAGACACTCAAGTGTCCTGTGGACTGTGTTCCCTGCTGCCACACCCACACCTGCACACACACAACATCATAGTACTGGACAAGTTTGGCAAGAGCATCTACCCGGCCATTGTAGGCAGCTTTTTATTGTTAAAAAACTGGATGCAACTCTAAAGAAATGTTGGCAGTGGAAGGATTGCAGAACAGTTTGAGCATTTGTCTCTGATTGAGGCTCGCTACTCCTATGGACAGAATCTTCCGTGTGGCACAGCTGCTGGTGCCAGGTGAACTGGCTGTTATTACCGCCCAGTAATCAAACACCACTGATGCAACCCTCTCTTTCTTTGGAAATGCAGAGATAAACTCTGGCTTCTTGTACTCTCTTTCCTTATCCCATTGGTATTCTGTTATATATAGAATGCAGAACAGGAAACTGCATGAGATGAAATGTTGGGGCCCTTAGTACCTTGCAATTGAACAATTCAAGCCTAGGAAGGGTCTTGGTCATTATTGTCAGACAAGATGATCACTTGATATAAAACAGAACATACTACCAGGTCCTCCAGGGCCTCCTTCCAAGTGCCAACTCCGGGGGAGGCTTGGACAGTGGACATGCGGAAGAGGGCTTTCTCTGTGGAGCCCCTCTTACCTTGGGAAGAATCTCTCCACTGTAGCCAGTCTGGCATCAAACTTACCATCTTTTTGGTGCCAGGTTAAGGTGGTCATTTATGCTAAAGCTGCTAAAGGTTTACTTAGCTACCCAGGGACTTGCTGGGCCTACCCATCCTAGGTGGTTTTCCTTTTTCCTTTTACAGGCTCATTTTTACTATATATTTTAGCCATTTTAAATTAATTTTAATGTGGCTTTGATTTTATGGCATTTGTATTTATTGTACTGTTTTTATACGTTGCTGTTAACCGGAGTGCAGTCTCAGAAAGCTTTGGCTACAGGATGGTATAGAAACGGAATTAATAATAGTAATAAATAAGTGGGGAAGAGATGAAGCATGTAGGTGTCCCACAGTAAGCACCACAGAACTTCAGATAAGGCAGCCATTGCCTGGCTGGACTTTGCCTTTGGGACTTTGCATTCAATGATCTGGCAGGATCTTACCCATTCAGAACACTCACTGTATCAGCAGATTAATTCACGTATCTGTGGCTGATTGTGACCTCAAACTGCGTAGCGGGCCCCCATGATTGTGGACTAGGGGTGGGTCTCTGGGAATTACTTCTCTTGCTGTTGTTTGTATACTGCCCCATAGCAGAATGTCACACTACTGCTGGAAGATGAGAAGTTCTGGTCTTGACGTTCTGGGATGGCGTATGTGAATTCTGCTCTTCCAGCTCCACTCCTCAGGTGGCGGAGTTCTGATAATGCTGACGGTGAAGGTTGCCTTGAAGCCCAAGCTTCTTCAGGGAACGCTGTAGCCGGTGCAGGGCTGCAGGTCCTTCCAGTCATGTTCCGTGCAGCTTCGAGGGTCACCCGAATATTGCCACGTTGCCCTTGGCAACGTGAATGTGCTGTGAACATCTGCACGGCGTGTGGGTGCTGCCCGTCTGATGGCACCTCCTCGCTACGAAGGGTGCAGGTGCGCACATCTCCTTCCACCACCACATGCAGCCTGAGTGTGCACATCAGCCTCGGAAGCACCTTCTGCTGGGTGCTCATCCTGCCTTTTCCTTTTTGGTTAGAACAGAGCAAGAGGCAAGGGAACTTCGGGGCTCCCGACTCCATCAAGTTGGAGCTGGGCATTTGTGGAGGAGGTCAGTAGGGGCATCTTTCTGCTCCCTGATTCTCACTCCCTAAGGGTGGGGATGCATGTTTTACCTAGCTGGATACATACTGGAAGGAAATGTCCAGAAAAAGGAAAAACTGCCCAGGGGAGAATGAGAGGGAAAGAAAAGAGTAAAGATGGTTGCTAAAGTTCAGCTAAACATAACTTCCTTTGATTTAAGCTTGTTACATGTTCTAGCTTTCTTTCTTCTAATGTTAAATATTTGAAAGCTATCAATATGTTCCCTCCCACGCTTTTTTCCCCTGGGCTGAAAATAATGCAGTTCCTCCAGACTTTCTTGTATGGCTTATAGTGGTGTTACAATGCCTGCAGCTTTTCTTGAAATGGTTTCCAGGTTTTTTCATGGTCCTTCATGAAAAATGAAGCCCAAAGCAAAAGTCATCTCAGATAAGTCTAGGTAGAAAGTTCACTTATTTCCTGGCTTGAGCACCTGTGACATACCCATAAATGGAAGCTGTGATGACAGATGGCTTTTGTGTCATGGCACCCACAGGCGAAGACCTTTTTATTTAAGCGGCATTTTAACTGTTAATATTATTGGATTTTATCTGGCCAGGGCGGCTTATTTTATATTGGTATTTTTGTATTTTTAACCTAATGTTTATATTTTTTAATTTAATATTATAATTATTTTTTAACTTATTGTTGTAAGCCGCCCCGAGGCTTCGGCGAATGGGGTGGCATAAAAAAGTTTTAATAAATAAATAAATAAATAAATGATACTTTGAAATGGTTCTCGAGATGATCTGCATTAGTATCAGTGTCCTGTCTTTGTAAAGGGTCATAGTAAATTAGCTTTATTTGCTGAGCATCTTGCAGCTGTGTTAACATGAATTACAGCCCCCCCTCCCCCCATTGATAGCAGCATCTACCTCTTAGCTAATTCCTGTGAACAAAGCAAACTAATGCTCAGGTAAGAGCTACAGAAGGTTTATTTTCTGGTAATTTTTATAATTATGCATCATTGCTATTAGTAATTTAAACCAGCTGCCACTTCCCTCCCACCTCATGCACATGCAGCTACCTGTGCAACATAGAGTCACAGTGCATTACATAAAATTGAAAAAGATTGAACACTTCATTGCTATGTTCCTGAAACAAACGTACCTCAAGGTCATCCACTGAGAGATGATGATTGTGTTGAATATGAAGGTTTTCTACCTGTCACAGACATGTGAATAATATGGGCAGCAAAGGTTGAATCTGCACAGCGTGCGGCACCAGTGACCTGAAGACAGCAACCCCATGTTGTGTTTCGCCACACGCCTGTTAGGTGTTGTCATAACTACATGCTTACAGGCCAGGGTTGACAGGGAGAGCACCTGTGCCGTCATGTGCCCTGTTTCTCTCCGAGCAGATGTGGCGTCTTGCTGCTTTTAACACCTGTATGCTGCCCTTATTTTGGCTGTTTTCGTTTTGAGGTGCAGAACCACCTTACAGAATGAGCAATTGAGCATGGAAGGGGCTGTGGCATCAGATCTCTGACTGGAATCTTATAAAGCTGCCATTAACCTTTGCCAGCGGATGTAGTTCCCTACGAAGTCCAAACTTGCCGAGTAAAGTAAATTTCTAAAAGTGCAGTCCTTTGCACGCTTGGACAGAAAAAAGACCCACAACTTGCAGCATGTCCCAGCCAGCCAGGGAACTATTGGCTGCTTGTTGGGTTTGGTTAGTGGGAAAAAAGGAAACAAAGAAGTCAAGGTTTAAGTTTTTGAACTTGAGATGATTTTACTTGTTATTCTGTGCTGGGCTCATTCTTTTGCTCCAGTGTTTAAATGCAAACATGTTCTCGATATGTTTAGAACCTAGTTGTTTGGATAATTGAATAATGATGAAATTCTTGCATTCTGTACAATCTCGTTGGATGTATTTACCATCCTGACAGAATGGTGTAACTTTTGACCTCGGGACTCTGTATTCCTGGTACAACAGGGCCAAACATTGACACATCTTAAAAGGTGTAACATGGAGTAAAATGTATATAATGCAAAACATGCAAAAGAAGTCTGTTTTCTGGTTGGGAAGCTTTCAAGGAAGTAGCAAAGGAGATAAAATTAAAGGAGTGAACTGTTTGTATGTGTGCTTGAGCTGTTGCTGTATAAGTGGTAAACAGGGCTAGTGTTTTGGGCTAGTTAAAGTTATGTAGCATGCTCACTAGTAGCTTAATGTCAGGTTAATTAAATGTTAAATGGATTGGCAGGATGAGGAGGCCGTGGACATGCTGGCTGTGTTCTGTTTGGCTATGTGCATAGTGGTTATTCACATTAAAGTTTTATTTGCTTAATAACTAGGACAAACATTTAGGATACTAAACTAACAGATGCAGTACATTAATTTTCTTAACTTATATCCATGATGTGCTGAAGTCTTAAATGCGGGGTGTCTTCATTCTTGATCGATCTTGGTGATACATAAAGACTTGAGCTGAAGAGTGTTGTCTGAAACCAGAAAAGGAGGGTGCTTCCCTGTGGAAGGCTTTATTCCTCTTGGAGCTGTCCAGCATGGAAGGAAGGAAGACTGAGCTTGGCTTCCCCTCCAAAGTGGCTTTACTAGGGCATTGTCAGGAGCTGAGATTCTGCTTTCGAACTTTCGCCTGCCACACAACATTTTCCTTGCAAACATTCTTTATTGCTCCCAAGTGCAAATAATCCAGAATGGATCTTGAGCATGCACAAGTGATTTGTTGAAGCCCATCGAGGGTTTGCCTCCAGGAATTCTCCTTATGAGCATGCCTGGGCCCTGTCTCCTCAGGAGGAGCTCTCTGAAGGTGAGCACACCTCTTCTTTGCATGTGGCTCATTCAGTCGGGCTCCGGACTATGCTGATGCTCGCCATGGAGTCAAGAGCAGCGGGTCCCTGGTCTGCATCTGAAAATCCCTCATCCTCAGAAACTCCCCCCACCCACTCATTGTACAGCTTGGGCATTCCCAAGCACTGCCTCACTCAGCAAAGCATCTGGCCCGCCCCATCTCAGATTCGTGACCCAGCCCACTGAAATGGGTTTCGCTTTCTGATTCTGAATCGTCCTCTGGAGTGCAGCCAGCAGTCTGTGGGAACGATTGCCCAAGACCACCCTCCTTCTCGCTTCTAAGAGGCATCTTCCGACCTGTGGATGAATTCAGTACACTCTTCCAGCTGAAGAAAGGGCTTTGGGAGTGGGTGACACAACGCAGAGAAGTGTGAGGGGTAAGGAGAGGCTCCTCGGCACGCTGCTCTGCCTTCCTACTCTAGCTCACCCTCTCCCCCACTGCCACGCAGATGCGCGATGGGTCTTTGGAGCCCCATGGAGGGCCTGCAGTGGGGGAAGTGGCGAAGTCAGAGCTGCAAAGAAATATGCAGAAAAAGAGCCCATTGCCTGCCTGCCTGCCTGCCTGCCTGCCTGCCTGCTTTTTTTGGTGAAGGGGAAGGTCACTGGGGATGATATGTAAAAATTTGTCTGACATATTTTGTCCTGCCCTAGAATTTTCTTTTGGAACATGGGCAGGCTTTTGAAAAAAATGTCCATAGGATATGCTCGTGGCAAATATTACAAAAGGCAACAGTCCACACAGCGACTTTGGGGTGAGTGGCATTTTTCTCTTCTTAGCCTGTGTGCTGACACAGGGTTGTTATCCCTGGAAACAGGCTTGGGAAGGAGGGGCTGACTGCTTGTTTTATTTTTTTTTAACTGTGTGTTTAGCATTCTCAGTGCTGGACTGAGGATGCCAGCTTCCGCTATGGGAGAAAAAGATCTCATGGCTGTAGAGAGGAGTTTGAGCACATGATGACAAATATGCGGATGTGGTGAAAGCAAGGTCCCGATGAGTCAAAAAATCTTGAAGTCCCTCTTTTAAAATCCCCATAATCTCTCTCTGCGTCTTTTTTTTCTTTTTTGCCGAGTGCTGATTTCAAATGCTATACATTTAAGATGTAGGAATATCATAGAGTTGTGATATGCTCAGTTTTCTTTGCCATCTGCATGAAAGCAATACTGTTTGACATTTGTTCAGAACTGGCAGATAAAGTGTATTCCTTGGGTGCATTATTGTGCAGGTAAAATCCAAGTCTTGGCTAGCCTGTGTAATCTTTAGTTGGGAGGAAACTGTGGAGGATGGCGGCTGACTGCTCTTCGTCCAGCATTGAAGAATACTCCATCTCAGTATGAAGCTATTAGTTTCACATGAATATCCTGTTGTTAGAATGTTCCCTTCCTGCTCTGCATGCTTTTGGGCCTCCAAAAACAGCAATACATTGACCCTTTTATGTAAGACAATACTGAATTTGAACCCCCCCCCCCGCCCCCTCCAAATTATCCTGCAGAGTTGCTAGGCTAGTTGCTTGCTTGCACAGGCTGCTGAAATGCTAAAAATGGCCCATGAATCACCAGCTGCCCATAGATCTGGCAGCCTGCTGAATTGAGAATTTGGGGGCAAATGAATCTGAGGAGGGAAATGTGGGGCTTGCCTCCCATGTGGGAGCTTGGAAACTGCAGCTATAGGATATCTGCGGAATTGACCTTGCAGTCAAGTGAAGAGGGAGGTTGCAGGTTCCTTGCTAAATCCTGGGACTGCCGCACTTTGGGGCTCCCAGAGGTAGAAAGGTGCATGCTTGGCCAGTTTAACTGTCTTAAGACATGTTTGTTTATGGCAGACAGAGACAATTGTACTCCAGTAATAGCAAGCTAGCTAGCTAGCTAGCTAGCTGCTTGCTTCCTTCCTTCCTTCCTTCCTTCCTTCCTTCCTTCCTTCCTTCCTTCCTTTCTTATTAGCACATGCATTTCATTTTATGTGCTTGAAAAAGAGCTCTAAGGTGTCCCTGGAATCCAAACTTGCTGTATTTATAGCATGGAATGGAAAGGTGAAAAGCTGGGGTGGCGACATAGCGTGTGCCCAGATGGTGGGCTGGAATCACAGTCCTGCATACCCTCCATTTAAGACTCCATGCAGATAGAAATCTAGCACATTGACAGAAGAGTGGTTCTAGACCACCCTTTGCCAGATGGGCTGGTTTTGTATGTGCGAAGAGCTTAAGCATGGAGAGGATTAAAGATGAAATTCTCCGGGTTAAGTATCAGTGGTCCAGTTCAGCTGTCACCTCATTGTGTGGTGTGCATAGAGTGGGGTTTGGCTGTTATAACAGGTGATGCACTTTTCCTTACCATAGCCAGGTATTCTCGTGGTGAGGACTCAAGCATTCTTCCTTGGTCAGTGGCAATTATCACTGGATAAACAAATAGCTTAGGCGAGGCTGGAAAAAGTCTTAAGTGCCAGGTTGGCCTCCTAATTGGAAAGAACTTCTCAGCTTTGTTTGGGACTGGATCCTCCCATCTGATAATCTTGTAGAGATGTACAAATCTGAAAGGTTTGATAACTTGAATGGAAAAAGAAGTAGAGGGAAAGAAATGTCTTGCTTGCCACTGTATTCAGCGCCAGGTATGGTGGACACAGATCACTTGGATTACATGCAGCTACAGCCCCCCCCACCCCCCAATTGTCTTTTTGGCTGCCACTGCAGCTTCGTTCAAATTTGCAGCAGCAGCATCTTCCCATGAGCATGGTGCCTGGAACTGCCCAGCAAGCTTTGACAGAAATTAGCTAATTAAATAAATCTGGCTTCCAAGCAGCATGCGCACTAAAGTTTAAAGTAAAAATGCTTGTTTCCTCTGTTGCTGCTGCACCTCAAAAAGATCACTGTAGAATTGAAACATGTGCCAAAAAAGGGGGGGGGGGCAACCCAAATTTAAAGAAGCTGGAGCAACTCTCTTGTGAGGAAAAAGCCTCACAGGAGTGCCTGCCGGAAGCATTCTAGGTGCCAGCCTGACTTTTCCTGGGGAGGGTTTCCCGGTGCAGGAGGCATACGACGGAGCCTTTGAAGACGCTGGTAAGTTATGGGCAGGTTTGCGTTGGATGAGGCTGATCCTGTATCCATGAGATGGACCCATGCATTCTGCTCCCAAACTGGTTATTGCTTTTCTGGGTCACACACAACACCTTGCATGGTGCCTGGAAGCAAACCGGAATCCACTGATTGATGTTCAGTGTGAGATGACCTGCAAGGTGCGTTGCTGGCAAAAGCCCGGCTGCCACATTTTCTCAGACTGCATCATTCGCCCTGCTTACCTGTGCAGAAGGCGCAGTCTGCGAGGCAGCTGATCCCACTGCCCTACTGCCTGCTAATCTCTGGAGGCAGCAGCCTCATGAAGTCACTCTGGTGGCTGGGGTGCTGACGTCACGATTTCCAAGCTCCGCTCTTAGTGCTTGCTCTCGTCTCACATTCGTAATCTGGTGATCCCAGGGCAGAGAAGAGCATTAGGCTGTTTAAGTGAGTGGGGGGGCTTCGAGATCATGCCTGTCAGAGGGCGCTGACAGTGGCAGACTCCAGCCTGCCTCTCTGTTGATCATATCCGCCTCATTTTCTTATGCATTTAGAAATGTCACGTGTCCGCAAATGTAGCGGAACATTTGCTCCTTCCTGTGTAATTTCTCTGTCTCTTTCTTTTGGCTTTTGCTCTTGTCTGGAAGCAAATGCTCCCTTCCTTCTCCAAGGCCAGCTTCTGGGGAAGGCCAGCCTCCTCAGTGGGGCATCTGCTTTGCCTAGCAAATGCCCCCGGTTCAATCCCAGTTAGGGTCTGACAGCAGGTGATGCTTAACTAATGTGAAACATTGGGTTTTACAGCTTGTTTCGAGAGCTTTGCAGCAGTTGGCTCACTGAAATGGAAGACTGTGGGCGTTCCAGTGGTCTGTTCTTTAATTGGCGTCTCGAGGTTTTGCATAGCCATATAAGAGGAGGTGTTTGTGAGCTTTGCTCTTTTCCAAGGCCAGCAGGCAGTGCTGGGGTATATTGGCATGTCAGGACTGGGTTGGGTCTGGATCCCTACAATGTGCGCATGGGGAGGGGGCCTGTAGAGCACATCGTGAGAAGGGGATGCCAACCTTCTCTTGACTCTGTTTCTGGCAAGATTTTGCACAGGATGGGACTTGGTGACCGGGAGTGACCCCTGGCAGCAGGTAAAGCACAGCTGGGGAAGGAGCTTTGCTCCTAGGAGCCCGTGTCTCCCCCTGCCCCCCCCACATGGTTTATAAGGATTCTCGCAATTGGCCTGTGCTTCCTGTGTCTGGTTGTGCCCAGTATCTCCTTCATTCTTGTTTCAAGTAAAGGTCACGCGTCTTTGCAAGAAGTTGGTCAATTAGACTTAAATGGCTAAATTTTAATCCACTAAGCTTATTACAGCAACAGCGTTTGGGCTGCTGTAGTTAAACTTGTCACAGGAGTTGGTGTAACCTGTGAAACAGGGCTAATTATAGCTTTTTAAAAAAATATTTGTTTGTGTGAACTTGGCAAATAAGCTAAATTAGCTAGATAAGTTCATTTGCTTTTTTAAAATGGGCATGAGGGTATGCTGCTTGGTTTACCCCAGTAAAATAGCCGCGTGGGTTGAAAAACTAGTCTTTTGCCTCATACAGAGTTACATTACCCTTGGTTGTCCTAAAGCACACAGATTATCCAATTCCCACTTGTTTGATTGACACAGTGGAGTACTGAATTCAGAAGGAACATTGAAGAGAAGTTACTGGATAAAATCTGGGGAAAGGTGGATTAATGCTACAATGTCAGCATTGGCTAATGAGCATGCCCAGAAGCAGCGGGGAAAATTGGATGTGGTTTTCTTGTTTCATCAGTTCCACATTAGCATGTGGGATTGGAACCAAGAGTGAAGGAACGGCACCTATGGTTTGCATCCTGGTCTGTTTGCATTGTGCATTTCTCCTGTTTCTTCCCAGCGCATGATCGATTTCATTCTTCATCTGAATGAATGCAGCTCCTTTAAACTTGATATCAAGCTCAAAACCTCTAGATTTTAAGAAAAACTTAAAGGGTAGAAAATACTCCCTTGGGGATGAATTCTGAGAGAGATTAGTTAAAGCTACAGTGTCAGCATTGGCTAATGAGCATGCCCGGAAGCAATGAACTCTGGGAATGGCTGCAGCAACCCTAAGAACCACAGAATATTGATGGAATGGCTGGCATCCAGAGAGCTGCTCTGTGCACATCCAGAGGCTGTCTCCTGACCTTTGAACTCTTTTATACGCTATTGCAAATGGCTTTGGAAAATTTTCAAAGGTAGCTTTCCGCAGAGTTTGGGAAGCTACAGTTTGAGAAGGACATATTCAGTCTATCATCCAACATACCAAACTAGTTACACCATGGTTTGGTTTCCAGCCATAACCACCAAGTGAAAGTGCACTGGCTTTTTGGTTAGTAAACGGAATTTAAACCTTGGCATACTGAATTTGGTTTTTAAGTCTTTCAGCTGACTGATGCACGTCCTTGGAATAGATTCCCAAAAAAATTCATTGAAAGAGCAACAATTATATGTGAATAAAGTTGTCCTTGTTGAGTTCTGTAACAAACGGATGCCACTACTTTCTTTGGTTACAAAGAAAAATCCACCAAGCCACAACCATTTATTATTTATTTACTGTTAACATCTATATTGGGGTGTCCAAACCGTGGCTCAGGGGCTGCATGTGGCCCAGGATGGCTGTGAATGCGGCCCAACACAAAATCGTAAACTTACTTAAAACTTTATGGGATATTTTGCCATTTTTTTGTAACTTGATCACGCAGTTCTCCAATGTGTACTTTGTAGACGACACTGTCATGTTGCAGCGTCACGTAAAATAAACATACCTATGCTCTCAGTATTTGTTCGCATGCGTGGCTTCAGTTTTGCAGCCGTGTGTGCTTCCAGTGTGTTATTTTCCAAGCGCAGACAGTCAAACGGACACCATCAGACATTACATGTGCAACGGATTTCAAGATTCCTGGGGAAATAAGCACTATTTTGGTATATTTACGACTCTATTTTCAGTCGACATAAATATGTTACCTGGCAATTTTCAAATGGAGTGTATAGAGCGGCAATCTGACATTCAGCTTAAAGGAAAATTTGATCATGGGCTTTCATAGGTCTTATCATCCCAGAGACTTATCCCTTGCTTCATAATCGTGTCTTATTCATGTCTTCGCTTTTTGGAAGCACCAACATTTGTGAGCAACTGTTTTCAAGAATGGAGCACACTGCCCATCTAAGAGTAAAATGAGAACCAGAATTTCTGATGAGCACCTTGAGAACTCACTGAGAATTGCAGCTACTTCCATCGAACCAGATATTGCTCCACTCGTTTCTCAAGTGCATTGTCAAATATCCCACTAGTTTTATGTTGCCCTCTTTTCTTTTACTTTTATAATAAAAAATAAAAAAATCAATGAAGTTTTATTACTTAGATATGTTCATTTTCTCTATTAGTGATCACAAACTTGAGACTTGCTCGATGATTTTAAAAGACTCTCTGAATGGGGCGCCACATAATTAGGATTATGTGAGGACTTTTTTGCTTATCTGTGGTGGCAGGTATCATGAAAATTATGCATAGACTTGTTTTTTGCTTATCAGCTTTTGTTAGTGTTTGTGTATTTAATATGCGGCCCGAGACATTTTTTTTCTTCCAGTGCGGCCCAGAGAAGCCAAAAGGTTGAACACCCCGATCTATATGCTGCCTTATTGGCTGAAATTATCAGCAAGATGGTATATAGCAATTTATTAAAGCACACTAAAAAGAGAAAATAACTCTTTCTTAAAACAGAAGAGCAATAAAAGGAAGGCCTTAGTTTAAAACAAACCCTTAAATCAATAAGAGTAGAAACATTTTACAACAGTAAAATATGCAAATATTAAAACTACGTGAATTATAACGCTAGGTAACAAGATGCATCTTCAGACCTTTTCTGAGAGCCAAGTGTGGAAGCTGTTTTTAGTTCTTGAGGGAGCATGTTCTGCAGTTTGGGAAGCCCTCAAAAGCCCCTTTCCTGCACCTTTTAATAGCTGGGCAGGTTCAGAATGAGACAGGTGGTCCCCTTGTGTGCTTCGGTTGCCTTGGCAAAATGCTCCTGTTGCACAGGAAGTTCTCTTTCTCCACAGCTTCCCATAATCAGAGCTTCCCCTTGTGTTCCCTAAAGATGCAAGACCTGAAGCTGGGGAGAGGGTGTCCCAAAGTATCTACCGAATGGCTGTTGCACATGGTACAAAAGAGAGACACAACTTGTGCAGCGCATGGAACCTAATGAATGAAGGAGTGGATGCCCCGTGTACGCTGGGTGTGCCCGCCAGGACATGGACTCAGGGTTGCCACAAAATGGCTGGTGTCCAGGGAGCCAAGCCCAAGGGATCGGGGCTTGGCTCCCTTCTTCCACACTTGTAGTGCACACACGCCTCTGTGGTTTCATTGGCATTTCTCACATGAGGGCCGCAAGGGCAGGGCACCATAGCCTGTAGCCCACAAGTGGAGAACCTCGTGCCTGGGTGCCCCGCCTGGCCCTCCTGGAGGCGCAGCCCAGCCTATGAGGCTCCCTGGAGAGCTGTTAGTGCTCTGGGCACTAACAGCTGGTGGTTTTGAGCTTCCCAGCTTTTGCAGTGCTTTCCCTGCATTCTTAGAGCTTAGCTGACTGGCAGGAAGAACTTTGAGTTACAGTGTGCTGGCTTTTCTTGTATTTTGGATCCATCTCTTTTGCCTTCAAGTCTGCCTTCAGTACTGGAATGTGGCCCCCATGACCTTCTCCAAAATTGAATGGGCCCTCAAACTGAAGGGTTGTGCATGCACCTGAGCCATAACCTTCCAGCAATCATCAAGTTGAGGCCTGTGTCTGAAATTTCTGTAATAGTATTGCGGATTTCTCTTCCAGACAAGGTGTCATACCATCAAGTATCGCTATTATTGTTTATATACATTGTCGTAAACTACCCAGAGAGCTTCAGCTACGGGAGGGTATAGAAATGAAATAATAATAAAATAATAATAATTATTATTATCATCAACCTAAGATGACAATTTTCTTATTTCTCATTGTTCCTGTGGCATAGGATAAGTTTTCCTGAGTTGCAAAACAAGTAAAATGAACTTCAAAAGATACTTTTAGAGGAAATGGGTTATTGTAGTGCTTTTCATTTTAGTGCTGCAAGAAGCTCTGGACAACAATCCAAAAGATGGGCTGATACCAGAGTGTTGATACTGAAATGGCTTTTTAACTGGGTGTGTGTGATTAAAGAATTCTAAGCATGAAAGCCATTCACTCTGCAAAATGCAGGTTATGAAAATGCTGTATTTATGGAGCAGCCAGATTGGAAACAAACAAAAAGATTACGCCGTCAGCTCTATTCAGCTTTATTTCATTCCAAACCTCTGTCTTGCATATTGAACAGCTATTGCTGGGCCGGCTGTTGCATCCTGCTTTTCTGCCCACCTCCTTATAGTCCTCTGCTTTAAATGCCCTTAATCAGGATTTGAGTCTTTCTCTAGATTCATTCTTTGCTTTAACCTTATAGGTTATAGGCTGACCTATAAGGTCCTTATAGGCTGAACATTTATGTTGGTGATCTGGGGAGTCATCGTCTACAGATGATTAGTGAACGCGGTGGTGGTGGTGGTAGCTAAATAAATCCCTTTAATCACATGTTAACTGTGAAAACACAGACAGAGCTGTCAGTCTCCTTGACAGCCAAATGAAACTTGCACATGAAACCTCAGCAAGCAGTACCAGTTTCAGCACAAACCTTCAGGTGTCTGCTTCCCATTTTTGTATGTTACCCCTGACCATCTAGAATTGTGGTGCTGGCCACTCTTTGAACCCAACCTGTATTCTTTGGTCCAAGAGTACATCTTAAAATTGGTCTTCTGAAGCACTGAGACATGCTGTATCGTTCAATGCAGAAGAATTAGGTTAATGTTACTATAAAGATTTGGAATGGTTAAAAATACTCTTCCCCCATGCAATACACAATTTGAGACCTGTGGTTTAATATTTTGTGGTTTGCCTGTGTTCTGTCCTTAGGAGAATCGTGTTCTGGATTTTGTGAAGGCTGAATTCTTAGGATCCCACATCTAGGATCTAGTCTGGCTGTTTCATAAGGACGGATTTGTTAAGGCAAGTGAAGCCTCTTAACCTCTTTTCAGAGTCTGAAAATCTCTGTGGCAGATGATATGGCAGAAGCAGAATGCAATTTGTTCTTCAGAGGGTCCCCAGTATTGGTAGCCCCCGTTGTTGGAAGAGGGCAGCTCTTTCTAGTTACATGTTGTCAGGTGTGCACCTTGGGTATGTAGGTTAGCTCTCCAGAAGCTACACAGGGACAACATTATTCTTGAAATGTGCCAGATTGTAAGTATGATTCTTAATTAGCATGAAGCAGATGGATGGGATCTATAATCCTGTACTGGAATCACAGTTTGGTACCAGTCCATAGAGGGGAATCAACCCTGTTATTGAACCATGTTACTGAAAATGCAGTTCCAAGTGTGTCACTATGTTTTTTGGTTTCAAACGGCCAACTGAAAGGGGTATTTCTCCCATGGATGTTACTTATTTAACTCTATAACCTGCCCTGTTTCAAACACCGAAGAATCTGCAAGAGGTCAGTTCCTGTTTCTGAAGAGCTCCTTGTCCACAAAGGAGCTGCAAGAAATAACTGAATTCTGAACTGTTACAAAATTAAGATTTATCATTTTAAAAGGGAAGGAAAAACCCAAGACCCAGGATGGCCTGAGCTCAGGGGTTGCTGAAACAATAGACTTGGGGAGGGAGCCCACAACCTTGCTCGTCTGCTCACCTCCTTGACCTTGAGGGAGGCTCTTCTGCGTCATGATAGATTATCAGGCAGTGCAGGGCTTGTGTGTCTCCTTCTCCCCCTTCTGCCTGTGGTGTCCCAGGGGACACTTCAGAAGCACCAGGATGTCCCCTGGGCTGCGGCAAGCCACTTGCGACAGCTACTGCTTGGCTTAAAAACAAAACCAAAACAGTTTAAAGTTTGTGAATGCAACCATTCAAGGTCCCCGTTCCTTTCCCAATCTTGTTTTGGGGGATCTGCCCCGTTGCTCCTTTGTAGCCCTCTGCTAGCTCTGTTTTCCAGATTATTTTATGGGGGGTGGAAAGCCCTGTTTGCAACAGAATCCTCAGGGATCTTTTTTTGCTGGGGGGGGGGGGTTGCTCAATTGGCTCAGGGCTGCTGTCACTTGCCAAGCAACCAATAACGAAGAGGCACAAGAGCCCTTTTCCAAATGCCCAAGGATCAGCAAAAGAAGAGTGCTTTAGGGGACAGCCCCTCAGTTCCCCCATTCTGTGACGAATCCCTGGGGTTTCAGGAGGTGCTCGGAAGCTCCAGATCCCCTCTCAGTCTTGCAGTTCATCCCAACTCACAGCGCCTCATGTAGTGGGGGGAAACCCCACAGGGGGGTGAGTGGGCATAAAGGAAAGGAACAAGCCTGCCTCCCCACACAGGCAGCACTTGGGGATGGCCGGGGCAGTGGTACTTCCCAAAATAAATTTGAGGGCCAGCCTTCAAAAAGGGGAGGTGGCCCCTCTTCTCCTGAACGCTTGCAAGGATCTGACCAGCCACAGGTGGACATAGGTCAGTTGAATGGGGGATGCTTTCATTTAAGGTAATAATGGGAGATTATGGGCAGCTGACCCAAGGAATCACTCCATCTTGGCGGGTGGAGGGCACCTCCCAGATGCCCCAAAAGCTGGCTTGCTTTTCGTTGTGGGTGTGGGGGGAGCCTTTTCCAGCTGTTGTTAAGTGCTGCTTTGGGACTTAGGGGTGAAGCAAACCTTCCTGCCTCTCTTGCTCAGGGTTCTGTTGTGTTGTGTTTGTTTAACCAGTGTTTTTTTTTTGTCTGGGTTCAGACAATACAGTAAGCCACGGTAGGACTATTAAACCCTGCAATAATCCATAGCTAGTTGGGTTAGTCTATAAACTAACCCAACTAGGGCATCCCACAGGAGGAGTGCTGGGTTTGGACAATATGCTAAACTGCTGTGGCTTATAAACCACCCTGGCTTAACATTTGGTATAGATGCAGTCATTGAATTTACAGGCAGCAATGTGAGCTGGATTTTTTTTTACAAACGGAATTTTCCATTTTTTAATTTTTCTATACCAAATTGTCTGTTTTGCAAGTTCATGCATAACCATGAATGGATGTCAGGTACATATACAATGTGAAGCAAGTTTTCAGAGTTGTGATCAATATTTTTCAGGTGATTATCCCCAGGAAATATGTGTGAGAATACTTACAAGTTATTGAAATGCATCTGTGTCTCAGAGTGAAATGGAATTATTAACTTGTGATAGTGATGGTGCCCAAACTTCAGTGGAAAAGAGTTGAATTCTTGAGACAGATCTGTGGCTGCCCTCATATCATGCACAGTTGTTTGGATTCCTAAAATTTATTACTATATCAATAGCTTTCAGTCCCTTCCCCCCTTAAAATTAAACAACTTGAAGGGAGTACATGCTGTTGCCTTTACATCTTTATAAGTAGTTTAATAAAAACATTCTATGTAACATCTTAAATTAGAAGAAGTGCATTTTAATTCCTTTCTTCAAATATTGCAGGTCAGATACTTGGGCTGAAGCATTACACTGGAGCACTGTGTTCTTTAGTAAATAAAAGTAAAATAGGCATTCTAAATTTCACCAGTTACTAGAGTATTGGAGTGGAGGGGCTAGGGAACAAGTGAGAAAGTTCAGGTCAATAGTAACACAGGGCTGTCCTCTCCATCACCTGGGGTGCGACATGGAGGCTGAGTGTCCATCCTGGGTGTGCGTTCCCTTGGCAAGCTGCCTCACACGGGTGCTGCACAGTGCCCCTGGATTTCTGCCTGAGGGCTGTTTAAACTGTGGTTCTTACATAAGAGGACGTTTTCTAACAGTTTGTCTGACGGGAAGAAACGGTTGAGCTCTTGCACCGAATAAAACCCACTTTAAGTTACTCTGTCGTTGTCTGGAAGAGTTTCCTTTGAAAGCTTAAGTGGAGGTAGATAGTTTTGTTGTGCAGCTGCCTGCGGTGGGCATCACACTCCCTCATTGCTAGGCCACACCTCGCCCTGCCAGTTCGTCCCCCCAGCGTCTTTGGTGGTTCTTCTGTTCCCAGTTGTCCCGCGCCGTCTGCCTGGAGCTCACTTTCCCGCATCAAGCTGTCCCCCGTGTAAGTCTTCCCCTGTCCCAGGTGCCCTGTGCTTGGCCTGCCTACCTGCAGACCCGGTTGCCTTCAGCAGAAGCCTTCCCTTTGCTTCTGCGGCCCTGCCCTTTCCCCGCTGCAGTCTTCCTGGGGCCCGAATCAGCTGCCCGGGGCCTCTCTTTGCCGCCAGCGATGTGTGCTGCCGTTGCACTAATGATGCTTCTGGCTTCCTCCGCCCCTCTTCTCCTTCTTACTCCATTTTGTGATGTCAGCGAGCTCACTGAGCGATCATAATTGCCATTAAGTGGTCATCATACCATGCGGGAGAAAGCGAAAGGCGGCCCATAAGAAATGAGAGCCACTTCGCTGCACAAACCTCACAGCAGGGGACAACCCCTGAAACCAAATGGCATTTTGCTTCCACATAGGTTTGTAAGTTCGGCGGTTTATTCCGTGCCAAACGAACGTGCATCTGTCGCAGATACATTTTACCATGGGAACTGCAAAGGCTTTGCGGGACAGGCGTGTGCCCTGCATGCAGCGGATTCGGAGCACACTCCTTTCGGAGGCATTGCGCTGGGCTGCACGGATCGTTAGTTCGTGTTGCAGGAACTACCCAACGTCTTCACACAGCGCATAGCTCAGTCCTGGAATTCCCTTCCTAAGTATGTGGCTTGGGCCGCTCGCTTAAATACCTTTGCCAGAGGAGTTGACAGATGCATGGAGGAGGACAGTGTCAGTGGCTACTCGTCCTGATAGTTATGTGCCATCATCAGCCTTTACCTCTTTCTGGGGAAATGCGAAGGGAGACGGAGATCGCCGTCACGTTCTGCCTGTGGATTTCCTGCAAGCCACTGGTGAGATCTTGCTTGGGAGTACCTTCTGAAGCCAGGGTGACAGCTGCACACTGCGTTTTCCCCATGAATGTCTTTGGAGGACTTCCTCTGAACATGGGGGAGGTACAGCTTCAGATATTTTTCAGGGACTTGTATTCCTGTGTGCTTTTGTCTATTCCTGTACGATTGCCAATACATTCCTTTTGCTTTTTCTCCCCCATCACTGCCCATCAATCTTATATCCTACTAGCTGGAGGAAGTAAACCAGGCTGTTAGGACAGGCGGTTGCTTCATGCTTAGGTGGCCATGCAAAAAAGCAAGCAGTCTCAAAAGATTTTTCCAGACCAAAACCTTTATTAGCCATGAACTCAGAAGGTTTAGCCTTCTTCTGTGGTCTCTGGTTTGGTTTGGGTGCCAGACCTGCAGCACAATAACCGTTTCGGAGTGTCTGGACTGATTAGTGCAAGTGGATAAGCCTAGCACACAGTGCGCTGGAGACACGTCATATCAGTGGTTGGGGTGTTGTGCCAACTCTGGATAATTCTTAATGAAAGTCAAGTTAACTTGAAGATTGGACCCCAGAACAGGGCAACTTTGAAATTGGACCCTATCCGAGTTATTAAGCATTTAAAAGCACAGGCAGGTAGAGTTGGAAAGGACCAGGAAGGCCATTGGGTCCAACCTTCTGCTCAAGGCGGGCCTCCGAGTTAACGCGTTCCTACCAGGTGGATCATCGCAATCCTAATCTAAAGTTTCCACATCGTGTGATGTAGAAATGGGGCATGGTAGTGTGAGCTGATTTAATATCGTGGATGGACATTTCAGGCACATTTGAAATCCTTTTGTCTCAGCACTTTACAATACTAATGCATGTCAGTGAGGGTCTGCCATTAGACACATCGTTAGTTGGGTTTGTAGTCAGCTTGTAGACTGGTGTGAAGGGTGCAGATACTACATGCTATCTAGATAACTCAGATGGAGTCAGGGGCAAAGTCCGTGCTGGCACTAGTGATGGGGGATAATGTGCTCAAGAGGTCCTGGAGGCCTAACTCAGGATGCTAGATAAAATCCAGGGGCACCGACATAACTTTGTCTGAAAGTTCCCCCTGTTCCCCCCACAGGGCCAGCTAAATAG